GCCCTCCTGGGGTACAATAGATATGTCATCAAGTATGTTTTAAAATATCAGTCAAATCTATAATCTGTACGGTGCTGATTATTTTTTTAAAGAACATATCTGCCGATACAGTATGATAACAATATCACTGTGCATCCCTATTTACTACCATTGTTGCGTATGTAAAAAATTTGAAACATATTAAATTATTACTGTAACCCTCTGCTAAACAGACCACTGTCAGAATAAATCGCACTATAACTCTTTACCAGGTCTGGCTGAATAACTGAAAACAGAACAAAGAACACATAATGACCATTGGCTCTTGGTCACGTGGGCATTATAATGAACATCGGCGAGGAACACTTCTCAAAGGTCAACAAAGGTCAACACCTGTTTTATAATCTTGACCCCTAAAAACAGAGGTCAAAGAACATCAAATGAAACACTCTTAACATATGAAATGAAAATCAGTATAGAAGCAGAACGGATGAGAGGGTGCAGCTTTTCACCACAAAGACAAGAATGTGTACTTAAGCTATAATTCATGGTCAGAAATTGCCTGAATGAATCAAAAAGGCATTGGTCATCCATTTAAGGTCACAAAAAGGGCTGCAAACAATTTAAGATCAAGGACAAATGTCACTCAGCCAACGTAAGACCAAAGCCTGATACCAAGATAGAGCCACACAGAGGAAGAAGGGAAATCAGTTGGGTTAAATCAGACCCAACAGACTGAGCAGCTTCTGGTCACTGTGAGAACATAAAGCTCAACAGATTTCTCAGTTTGAATATGCAAACATGAGTTGCTAATAGGTGCCAGTATGTTGTTCATATGCTGATGATGCCTTGCTGATAAACTTGACATGAAACTTGACAACTTTTGGAAAGCGTTAGTTATAGGATACACTATGGCTATGTTCACATTACCAGGTTGAAGTGGCACAAATCCAATTTTTTGCCCTAATGTGACTCAGATCTGATGTTTTTAGGGCTGTGCGGATACACAAATCTGATCTCTTCAAATCTGACCTGAGCTACTTTCATATGTGGTCGTAGATCGGATACGTATCCGATTCGTGGCCATGCGACCTTAATGTGACGCTCAGATCAGAATTCATGTGCTTTTTCTCCACTGCCCATGCGCCGTCATTCAGCGTTACCATGGCAGCAGCGCTGAACAGAAGTTAAAGCCTGTAAATGGTGGAAAAGCAGCACATCTCACCTTTTTCTCCTTCGTCTCGCTCTAATAATGAAGCTGAGAGCTGATCAGAGTTAATTATCTTCAGCGAAGCTCGTTCTGCTCGTTAGTTTGTGCTGATGATGCACGTGATTCATTCACGTGACGTTACTGAGTAGGATGTGCTCATGAGGGTCATTTCAGGACGCCGGTTCGTCACATTAATGACTGATTTGAGTCACTTACCTAAACGAGTGTGAACCATCATGTCAGGGAGATCAGATTTGAGCAGAAAATCGGATTTGAGCAACGAGGCTTGTAATGTAAACGTAGCTTACGTAACTAAAGCTACACAATGTATGATTTGGGGATTTGGAGACCTCTCTGGTGGAAATGTGGAAATGCACACAACGTATGGAAGAACATTTTGTGACGTCGCTTGTGTGCGAGCGGATGAATGTGATGATTGCGAGTGCGTTGAAAGAGAATTCAAAGAGAACTCAGACGAAACATGGTGAAGGACCTGCCTCTGAGGATGGAAGTGAATTATCTATGATTGTCATCGTATCTTCATCAGTTTAATGTTGATTTTGCATTTGAGACCTAAATACCAAGCCAGACCTTCTTTCTGAGCTGACCTGATATGTTTGACTTTTAAATGACTATCTCAGGCTTCACAGAGTCGCCGCAGTGCGTGCTCACCATATGTTTCTATGTCTTTTTTTCCTGACTCAATAACGCTACTTCTTTCAATTTTAACAATAATTTGGTACATAGTGCAGCTTTAAGATGTTAAATTGAACTGAGCCAAACACACATAACTTTTACTGAAAATTCTGTATATTAAGTCTGGGATCTTTCCTGAATAAACAAAAAAATATACAAGGGTATTTAACAAACCTTTGCAATAAAGAAATGAAGGGATTTATTTAAAATGTAACATTACTTTGTGTACTTTTTGTCTCTGCCTCAGGAGGTTAATTGTGATATATCTTTCAAACCTTTATATAATATAACCATATTTGTCTGTTACACAAACCCATAGTGTTGAAATCTGCTGCTTACTCTAAAACGAGCAGGTTTGTGTCAAGTACATGAATTCTGCTGTTGCAACCTATTGAGGTACATTTGTAAAGGACATTTTTGTTTAGTTTTCCATTTATTTTTCTTAAATTCAAGGCAGGAACCAAACAGCAAAAAATGATATTTCGTATTTTAGTCCAAGCCAAAATAATGTAAACCCGTAACACTGTGTATGTGTGTGAATGTTAGTCTAAGAGAGAAGGAAGCTGGTGATGATGTAGGACAAAGTCAAATTCTGGTCAGTTAACCTTATTTGAGTGGGTTCATGTAAGAAATGTGAGAGGGCAGGTCAGTCTCCCTACATTATCTACATTATATTGTGTTGTAATCCACCCCGGCCTGGTCAGTCATGACATTGCTATGTTTTTTTTAGCATGTATGTCTGAAACTAGCATACAATACACATACTGCTGAGTGAATATCAGATAAAACATTTAACCTCCATTAATATGAGTGCTAACCAGGCTACCCAAAAAAGGGAAATTAAAAAAATAGAAGTGGTTTAGCTGTAAAACAGAAAAAAAAATGGAACTTTATGTGCTGTCATGTTAGACATCATTGCCTTGACAGCTTGAATGGAGTATTCAAGCTTTCAACTGCCTTTCAGATGTAGTGTTTCTGAAGAACCTTTCAGTTGTTTGATGTATGTTTTATTCATGATGCATAACAGTGGTGGGTGATTACACAACCCTTATGTTCGACAAGTCAAAGGCAACATACTGTAAACTGCACCACAAAATTGTTACGGCAGACCTTCTACAGCAGATATTACAAAACTGTATTGTGGACGTAGGAATCGTGAGCAATACAAGACTAGAACATTAAACCACTTCAAATATTAATTAGAGTGCTCATCTTAAAAAAACTGCTCATGTAAACATCACCCTGAATAACACTTTCATACAATGAACTTCGTTACTTCAGCCACTGAACCGAACCTCACGGTGTCATGAGAATGGAGAAAACAAGACTATTTAAAGGCAAAACAACAGTTAAAATTGTGTCTTGGCTGACACAGAGGATGGTGCTGGCTGAGTGAGGAGAAAAGGAGGAAAAGGTCATGAGAATTTCAGTATCTTTCCAAAAAAAAAAAAGGGCAGACCAGTAGAGGACCATCAGTGAGCTTCGCCACCCTGGAATACGTACAAATAAGCAGACTGCAATCACTGTTTGACCACTAACGATGCACATGCACGTCTCGCTTGGAGTGTTTAGGTGTTAACTCATTATAACGGTCAGCAAGGAGCCATACTGTTGTAATACATGCAGAATGTGGTTTAGCATTGTCTTGAAATAAACAAGGCCTTCCCTGGATGGCAGCATATTTTGCTCCTAAGCCTGTTCAGCATTAATGGTGCCTTCACAGATGTGCAAGTCACTCATACATTGTGCACTCATGCCCCCTATACTGTCATAGATGCTGGCTTGTGAACTGTGCACTGATAACAAGCTGGATGGTCCCTCTCATCTTTAGTTCAGGGAGGACACAACATCCATGATTTCCAAAACAAATTTCAAATTTTTATTCGTCAGACGAAAGGACACTTGTTCTTTTCGCCTCAGTCTATCTTATATGAGCTCAGGCCCAGAGAAGGCGACAGCATTTCTGGATCCTGTTTCTTCTTTGCATGGTAGAGTTGTGATTTGCATTTCTGGACACAGCGACAAACTGTGTTCTCTGACAGTGGTTTCTGGAAGTGTTCCTGAACCCATGCAGTGTTATAGTATTATGTTGTGAGATGATGCACCAGATGTTTTTTTTTAAGCATTACACAACTTTACCAGTCTTTTGTCGCCCTGTCCCAACTTTTTTGAAACACGTTGCCATCATCAAATTCAAAATGGGCATGTATTTTTTAATTATTAATTTTCAGGTAAATATAGAGTTTTAATGAATTGCACATTGTTGCATTCTGTTTTAATTTTTAAACGTTAAAACATTTTTTATATATTTTCCATAGTGTCCCAACAGGGTTCTGTGAGTGTGTGTGTGTGTGTGTGAGTGTGTATTCATAAATATATAAATACATAAATATATATATAAGAAAACCTTGTCTCCAAAGTAGTAACTTTACAGGAGAAGGAAAAAACACAATTTACTAATATTTATTCATTTATATGGGTCTAAACATTAACAGTTAAGTAAACTATATATATATATATGGTTTATATATGGTATATATATGGGCTGATTTCTTCCATGGAGACTTCAGACGACTCTCAGGTGAATCTGATCTACTTTTGTCACTATTAGTGATCAGAGTCATGCTACCTGGTGTGCACACTGTCATTATAGCAAGAGAGGGTTAAACACTAAGAACATCTGAAATTCATATTAAAATTTCAAAGACTGTTTCAGCCACACAGACTGTTAATAACATCATTCATAATGAAGAAGCATTTTCACATGTCTCAGACTTTTGGTCATGACCATGGGTAACGTTCATGCACTCACTTAACTGGGAAAATGTGTCATTAAACCAATCCCCGCAGCCTAAACCCAGTTTAGAGTACGATGCGGAGGTCGCAGCATCACTGCAGCTTTGCCAAACGTTTGTATTTACATAGTTAAACGCTCCTCTGAAAGATGAACTCAGTGCTTGGGGTCACCTGGATGACCGTGTGTTGCTCTCTCAGATGATGTGCGTGGTCCTCCACACCCTCCTCCCCTCCCTCCCTCCCGTCCAATGGCTGGTCTCGGCTGGGCTGTGGCTGCGGCTCGTAATGAGCAGCGCTCGTCAGTGCTGTAATAAGCAGCTGCTCGGTGGAGCTCTCCTACTCCTGCGGTCAGAGCGGCGGACACAGACACCTGACCCTCACCGCCACCGAGCCCTCCTTCACGCCGAGCTTCAGGGAGCGGGACAGAAAGCCTAAAGCCACCTGCACGAGCTGGATTATGGAGAAGTTAGCTCGGCTGAGGAGCGACTGAGACGCGGCGGGAAAGTTCGCCCAGAGCCGCGGGATGAGACACTCCTAGGTGAGTGAGAGCAGCTCTGACTGCTGTGTGCGCAGTTCAGTGTGTCCGTATAAAAGCGCTGGCTATGACGATTTGCGCCCCCATTCGGGAGCCTAGCAAGACCCTTTCAGTGGGGTGGCGAGGTTTGACCCAGCGGTTCATGCGGGAGTTAAACTGCTGTGAATGAAGCACAGGTGTGTTGTAACATTATGAGAGAGTCACAAGCAACGAATATCAGCTGTAAAGAGCATTAAGTCTACATGATAAACTATAAAAAATAATGTGTGGCCACAACTTAGTAAGGTGTGGGAATTAGATCCTAATGCAGAGATGCAACTTAGTAAGGTGTGGGAATGAGCTTCTAATGCGTGGCCACAACTTAGTAAGGCGTGGGAATTAGATCCTAATGCGGATATGCAACTTAGTAAGGTGTGGGAATGAGATCCTAATGCGGAGATGCAACTTAGTAAGGTGTGGGAATGAGATCCTAATGCGGAGATGCAACTTAGTAAGGTGTGGGAATTAGATCCTAATGCGGAGATGCAACTTAGTAAGGCGTGGGAATGAGATTCTAATGCATGGACGCAACTCAGTAAGGTGTGGGAATGAGCTTCTAATGCGTGGCCACAACTTAGTAAGGCATGGGAATAAGATCCTAATGCGTGGCCACAACTCAGTAAGGTGTGGGAATGAGCTTCTAATGCGTGGCCACAACTTAGTAAGGCGTGGGAATTAGATCCTAATGCGGAGATGCAACTCAGTAAGGTGTGGGAATGAGCTTCTAATGCGTGGCCACAACTTATTAAGGCATGGGAATTACATTCTAATGCGTGGCCACAGCTCAGTAAGGTGTGGGAATGAGCTTCTAATGCGTGGCCACAACTTATTAAGGCATGGGAATTACATTCTAAAGCGTGGCCACAACTTAGTAAGGCGGGGGAATGAGCTTCTAATGCGTGGCCACAGCTTAGTAAGGCGTGGGAATAAGATCCTAATGCGTGGCCACAACTTATTAAGGCGTGGGAATGAGACCCTAATGCGTGGCCACAACTCAGTAAGGTGTGGGAATGAGCTTCTAATGCATGGCCACAACTTATTAAGGCATGGGAAATAGATTCTAATGCGTGGCCACAACTTATTAAGGCGTGGGAATTAGATTCTAATGCGTGGCCACAACTTAGTAAGGCGTGGGAATTAGATCCTAATGCGTGGCCACAACTTATTAAGGCTTGGGAATGAGATCCTAATGCATGGCCACAACTTATTAAGTCATGATCTCGTTCCCACACCTTACTAAATCATGGCCATGACGTAATTATCTCATTGCCATGCCTTACTAAGTACTGGCCACGCATTAGGATCTCGTTCCCACACCTTAATAAGACATGGCCACGCATCATTTTTATGTATATCTGATGTCACCAGCAGGGCTCCGTACGTTACTGTGCGATATGAGATGTTAGAGTTTTTGATGGTCACCTTATCTCACCATCGTTCAGCCTACCTCATGTGATGTAACGTTACCTCACAGAGCAGCACTGCTGAAGTGCACTGGGCAAAGTATTAGTGTGGTCATAGTTATATCGCTGTTAACCTCTCCAAAATGGTAACTTTACAGGACAAGGAAAAACATGCTTTACTTTTAATGTAAGTCAATGGAACCAGACTTCTTGTCCAGGTAATTTTGGCTGGTTCCTTTTGGTCCATTCATCATGAAATTTACACACAATTTAAAGGGCAGCGAGCATTTTTAAAATGACATCAAAAACCCAAAAACGAGAAAAATGGAGAAGTTCCAACAGCAGCGATAGGACGATAAAGAAAATAAGGGTGTTATTAACCAGTTAACCACAGTTTTAGACACAGTTTCACTCTGGAAAAACTGAAAATGGGCAATATTGTACAGTTCATTCCTTGTACTATTTCTACTCTCGGCTGAACAATGTAAACAGTAATGGCGGGTAATCCACAGTAATGTAGAGTAATCCATTTAATACAGCAGAAATACTGTAATACACTGATGTAGAAATCTATCTGGTGCTTTTAAACATTTTCCTAATGTAAAAAGCCAATGTTAGCTGCTTTCTTAAGCAAATCAAACAAGAATAACGAGAGTTCACTCGACCATGATATACACTGAGTACAGAGTCAGATTATACCTGATTGGTAACTGCACTGATGGCAGATTTTCACCATAAAGCATTTCACACAAAGTAGCAGAACTCTTCAGTGGTGATGCTTCAGTGACGACAGCTGACCGGCTCCCTTTGTCTAACCGGGTTGGTCTGAAGAGTAGCCACGCTTCACAGGAGGTGGCACTGGCCACCCCTTGGTTACACCTCTGGCCTCCACACAAGCTGCAAATCTGCTAGATTGCATTTGCCACTTTGGCTCGACTGTTTATATAATGTTATTAATGTCTCAGTATTGATTATAGGATGTGGATTGGAGCTTATGCAACATGCTCAGCTATGCATTTCTACAGTTGTATGCAAAAGTTTGCATGTTCAAACTTAATGCAAAACTACATTTTTTTTATTTTCTAAGTAAAAATATGTTAACACATAAACATGGCATTTTTGTATGCAAGTTAATGCAGGATGGTTTTTCAATTTTTTTGCACAGGATACATTTAATGTTCTAAAATATTTGTCTCCCTAAAATGTTAAGTTCAGCAAGTAAGCAGTAATTGTGCAAAGGACCTGTTAACTTCCTTTCACTTCATCAACAAATCAACAAATCAACAAATCAACAAAAAACGTCAATTGACCAGGGACACCCAAACTTTTGCATACGACTGTATGTAGTAGATTAAGTTAGGGTGCAAAGCAAAGATCTCTAGTGTTGAAAAAGCTCTTATAGTGTTGAATGAACACCTGCAGAGCTGAATGAACATCCTGATAACTAAGCTGAATATTACATTTATACTATGTTAATTCATTGACACTGAATTGACCATACAGAACTATACACTGTACGTAAATATAGACTGAAGTATGTTGTTAGGTGTGCATTTCTGTGGGGCAGTAGAGAGTTTGAGTAGTTTGAGCATGATAGTCTAATTCTGGATGATCTTAGCTGAAGTGCTTCAATTAAAAAACAGCTCATTTTAAAGTTCAGTAGTTTTTAAAGAAGATTTGTATTGGCTGAAACTGAAGGGTTCAGTGTCAGTATTGAAAAACTGTGCCATCTCTGCTGGATACACATCTTTACACCTAGTCTAGGAAAAGCTTATGTAGGCTTATCAGAGATGAAGGATATTGATACAGATCCATAATAACAGCCTGTACGACAAGTCCCTTTCGCTTCCCATGGTGCCTCTGCTCATCATGAATCATTTATACCCATCAGATATTGGTGTCAGAGGTTGTCCATGAATCTTTCAGAAATACAATGGGACCCAAAGGTCTTTGATAATCTCGGATTATTATTATTTATTTTTTTTTGTTTTATTTTTTTTCCGTTTTTTTTTGTTTTTCAGTTTTTGACAGAATTTGAAAATGCCTGTTTACCCTTCACACTGTGTGTAAATTTCATGATTAATGGACCAAAAGAAACAGCCTAAAATTACTTGGAAAAAAATTCCATTGACTTACATTAAAAGTAGACTACATTTTTTCCTTCTCCTGTAAAGTTACCATTGTTGAGATACAAGGTTTTGTTCCATCAACAGCAATTTAATTCTGCAAATAAACAACAGAAACTTTTAGAATTTTGAAAAATATATGACATTATATCACAGAAATATTGAAGATCCTGCACTATTTCTAGGTCTCTATTCATATTGGAGCAAATTTGTAATACTGGCCATATTATGGCCTTTGTAATAAAAGGTCAGGTTTTTTGAGCCATATTCCTTCCATTGAAGCTTGCGTTCAGATGACTCTCAGGTGGATTTGATCTACTGATCACAGTTTTTTTCACTGTTATTCATGTCAAAAATGTAAAAAGTCTACTCAGAATATAAAGCTGATCGTTTCGTTTATAATGAAAAACCTTGTACAGAATTAGCAAAGAAGGCAAAGTAGAAGCATTTTCACTAGTGGTCTCAGCCTTATGGTCCCCGCTGTATGTACCTCCTGTGGTGTCAGTTGCAGTTCAGATGAGCCAAGGATTCATTTTAGCAGCAGTTAGTGTTTATCTGAGGCAAACTGAGAGTATTTAATAAAAAGCAAGTGTGGTTTAGCTGGCAGGAGTTTAATCAAATGTTAATAATACAAAAACAGCACAAGTGAATGGCAGTTATCCAAAATCATTTATCCACTATATACAAGAACCATGAGTGGTGCAGATTCCTCTTTTCAGATCTAAAGCAGTCGTGTGCTTTTTTCTTTTAATAGCTCAGATTAGAATTTGAGCAGATTTAGCTTTCGCCCTTGGTCACATTTTAACAGCATTTCTGTTATTTTTGATAACTGAACATCACTTTACCTCAGCTGCTGTTTCATATTTGCACTATGGTCGTATTGGCCCCCCTGATCAAATGACACTTTTTTTTGATGTTCTAAGTGAAAATAGGTTACAGAGGACACACTTCTGCACAGTTTAATACACAATTACTGTTTATGTACTAAATTTAACATATTGGACAAGAAAAACAGCACAAAATGTGGCCTTGGGTAAAAGTTATGGCACATTTTGTATTATATATTTTATTTTTTAATTTAGATTTTATATATTCCTTTTAATATTTCTATTTTGACTACATAGTAACTTCAGAATTCAGAAGACAAAGTGACGTTCAGGGGGAAATTTACATAAATGACACACAACATTAAAGGTCTACAGTAAAGAAGGCGCTTTTTATAAACCATCCATCCATCCATCATCTAAACCGCTTATCCTTCTGGGTCGCGTTGAGGTGCTGGAGCCTATCCCAGCTGTCATTGGGCGGAAGGCAGGATACTTATAGGATATTTATAAACCAGTTACAGTAAAATGAAAATAACATTAATTAGAATTTTTTAGGCTGTATATAAATCAGCAGGCTTGGAGAGCATTTAGACCTGGCAGTTAACATC